CACGTGTACTAACCAGCCACAGGTTCTTTTCGATACATTATCTGCACTGGGAGAGCTCATCGTTTTGAGTCTGGTAGCAGTTCCAATTGAAACACTTAACTTAACCAGAATGGAGACACTCGAGATCCTCGGCGTCACTGCAACGAACTTGGCAACGATTCCGGATGACGTGCATCTGCGGTTGCCTTCTATCCGCTCCTTTGAGCTAGATCTCTCCCAGATACAAGACCTACCATTCGACTCGCTCAAACAAATGCGCCATCTCGAATATATTGGTCTAGCTGGAAACCCTATCTGTTACGGTACGGAATTCCCCGAATGGACGGCTGGCATCGTGGACTGCGGCCTGGCACATGATGGCTCTTGTGAGGTGGACGCATCCCTCATGGGCTTGTCAGAAACGGTCAATGGTTACTGCAAGAAATGGGTCGCTGGTGGCGCCTCTACTGAATGTCTACCGGTTTGCGAGACCACCTTCCAAACTTATTCTGTAGCGGACATCGATGGCAGTAGCACAATGAGCATTGAAGAGAACACAGCACTTCTCCGAGTGTTCGGTCTCTTGCCGGATGGAGCGGAAGCGACCACTACTTTTCACCATTGTATCATGAAAGCCTGTGGGCAAGAACCTTCGGATGAAATTCCGTTTTCCATTGAGTCAGTTGTAAGTGGGGAGGTACTCCGGTGAAACTACCAGAGTGAATGCCTAGTTGTCTGCTCGAGAGGGTTGGCGTTGGACTACAGAATATACCATTGTGTGTCTCTGTCATTAAGTGTCTCTTCCTCTGTCTCGTCCCCTCTCAGATATTTGCTTTTGGCGAGTCCAACTGTGAAGACTGTGGATTCTGATGGGCCCTGTTCATGAACTCTCTGAATCATGTTGTTCACGTTGTCGTCTTAAGAGCCTATTGCGTTATCTCCGAGCTGGGAATCAACTCATTCTGCCATGTGCGTCGCAGTGAACAAATGATGGTCGTCACGCTGAATCACTTCGTGGTGGTGCTCATAGATTGACTGAGGTGAAGGTCTTATCGAAGTGGCTAATCCAACATGAGGCCAGTGCTTTTGATCATGGGTTCATCAGTCGCGATGGCTGGTAAAGGGCAAATGATGTTGGTACTGCCGAATCGGGTTAGTTGATTCGGGTACATTGAGCTGATCTCATTGGTGTACACCGCGATACGCGTGTGTATGAGCGATAGGAAGATGAAGATTGCGAGGAGTGAGTTGATTGGCGTACCTCGTACAAGCTGGGCGGCCAGGACGGCGCAGCTCACGGCGGGCCGCCCGTCTCGATTGCTCCACCAACTTGGATCGACTCGTGATTCGTTTTAGCAGGGGAGTCGGCTGGCAATGGAATCATTGATGAAATCAGGGCGGAGTTATTTAAAGCTGATGTATTGACTGGTGCGTGTTTCACGCCAAGGCGTGTCTACTTGTTAGAGTCTGGCATGCTGATCTCAATTTCATAGGAGTTAGGTTCTCACTTCCATGTTTTCATGGCTTTTCTGCGATGCGCCGACGAGGATTTGCACTCACGCAGACTTATCAGCTGCCAGCGAGTATCAAAATGTCGACCATACAGAGTCGGATACGAGAGTTGCCGATGATTGTTCGGTCGGACAAGACGATGATGCACAGGCGATTGACCTCCAACAAAATGATGATGAGCTCACCTCGGCTTGTGGGAACCGCCTACAGAAGCTTGTCTCAGAACTTGTTAGAATCAAGCAGGAGGAGAATTCCAAGTTGTCATACGAGTCAGCAGTTTCAGCGCAAGAGGGAAATGGCAGACACTCTTATGATGACGGTGACGCAGTGGCACACGGGGTGACTTCGGAGACTGTTAAAGTTGTCATGGATGATGAGGGAACCAACCAACCGGTGGCTGTGATGGCCCGAGCGCCTCGAGTAGGGATTCTCATTGATGTTCCCTGCCCCGATAACTCCCCAGGATGTACGACGTCGCGCCGCTCGAAGATCCTCCCTGCAGTACATGGCCGTACTACTAGTTGATAAGTATAACACAACGTACAGAATCATCATCATACTTTTACTGGTGAGTGCATTCCAGGAACACGTCATCCTTGTATAACTGCATCTTCCGCTCAGTTGCTCCTCGCCTTTATCTGTGGTATCCAATGTTATGCCCAGTTTATTATCACAATACCGCCCTCAGCTGAGGAGCTGGATACCATTGCTCCTGAGACACTCTTGAAGCCCCCCAACACTGCTTACGACTTTAGGGCCTCAAACGTTATAGAGGCTATCATTTTTGGGCCCATCGGACTGTTATCGTTGGTTCGAGCTGGTATGGTATTGAGAATGCTGTTACTCAGTAATGCAGCCAAATTGAAGCTTTTCCGGAGTGAATGTCGGGAAGCTGCCGAATACCAAGGGAGACCTCCTCAGACTTTCAAAGAGCGAGTCGTACACACTTGGAATTTCTTGCGAGACAAATTCGATCTGACTGGAGATTGGTTCTGGTACGGCTACTCCGGTCTCCGCATTCTCGACGTTGTACTGCAAACTATCCACCTCGTCGAACTCGGCGGCCGATCCCTTACAAGAGAGGAAATTTATGCGAGTGAACGTATAGCTATCGTGACTCAGGCAACTCTAATTATGTTGGTATTCGTTGTTGGTCCGATCACGATTATACTCAACAACCGAGTCTGGGCTGCTCTCTTTGATGCCATCACGGCCTTCAGCTTCACGGCTGCTTATCTTATCATATCTGGTCACATACTTCTACCCGGTACTTGGCCAGCCTTGCACTTCCAAACCTTCATCTCTTTTCTGTCGACCATTTTACCAGCCGCACTGTCACTAGATAACATGATAGGCGTAGATCGCTACTTGCTTGAGATCGCCAAGAATCCCGAGCTAACCCGTGTCCAGAGGCGCACATCTCTCCGTTACTATGTTATCGCTCTCATCTCGTGGACCATTGGTATCAGTGGCTTCGTCTATGTGGCGATAACACAGTTCAAAGGTGACTGTAACGAGCTCATCCCCAACTTCGACTCTGAGTGTCTGGTTCCGGTATATCCAATCCTAGATTCCCAATCTTGTGATTGTCGGATGGCA